AACTAATCCAAATATTTTAATACACTCATTTTATTTTTCATACTCATTTAACGAAAAAAAAGCTGTTGTATGAATAAAAAAAGAAATGAATAGATACAATACAGACTGTAAAAATTAAAAGGTATGAAGAAATAAGAATTAAAGGAAATAAGAAAGAAAAGTCATTGTTTTGGTTGTTGAACAGCTTTTTATTTAGTTTAAAAAAGAATAGAGATGTTGTTATCCACAAAAAAATTAATTAATTTCATACACAAGACTTATTGACAAACACCAGTTTCTGAAAACCAATCACAACCATTTCTTATACAATCATCTTCTGTTGTTCTTGAAGAACAGGTTTTAAAAGTGATTGCTCCACAATAAAACCTGGTAACATCAACACATTTTATATATACATTAGTTGTAAATGTTGGGAAATTCGTTCTAACGATTCCTTCAATATAAGGAGCAGTATTTGATCCCTTCGTAACAGAATAAATTCCTGGAGGTAATTTATCACTAAATTCAAATGAACTTGACCAACAATTCCATGGTAATTGAGAAATAACTTGTTTAGGAATTTTTTCATTAAGACTTATGGTTAAGGAATAACCACTTCTATTATCATTAATTGAACAAGTATAGTCAGGTTGAATTAAAAATGATACACCAATAATAACTGCAACTCCAAGAAAGAAAAGGACCAATACACTGATAATAATATTAAAAGATAACTTATATCTTGTATTAAACCAAAACGCTAAAGCACCTAATATAAATAATATACAAAGACTTACAAGACAGAGTATTATTATAGACTTTCCCATCACAATACTCATGCCTACAGTTAATAAACCAATAAATAAAAGGACGTAAGTAAATAATGTATTTTCTTTATTCCAATATAATATTAATTTTCTTTTCTGCATTGTATATGTTAATTCATTTTTGTTTTGGAATGTACTAAACCATAACGCACAAGTTATTCCCCAACAATAAAACCAGACTCCAGGTAATTTAGGTAAAATAAATATTACTAGTCCAGATAGAGTACTGAGTAATACTGCTAATGAAAATGTTATTATTGCTGGTCCCATTGAAAAATGAAATGACTCTTCTTCTATAGCAAAAGTTCCAATGACTTTTCTTTTTTCGTCTTCATTTTCTTGAAGTTTCTTACTAATCGTTTTAATATTTTCTAAAGCATCATTTGCTGCTTTTGATAATTCTTTAAAACAATCCATTGATCCTGTATTACTTTCAGATGCTGCATTGTTAATCTCTTTTAATGCTTCAACTAAAATAGGAATTATACCAATAACATCAACAGATAATCCAAATTCATCTTCATGAACTAATTCAGGACAAACTTCTTGAACTTCTTGTGCGATAAAACCTAAATTTTTTTCGTCTTTCCCAGTATAATTAAATGATTTACCTGTTAACTTTAAAATTTTATCAAGACACCCTTTGAGAGGTTCAATATGTTCTTTTACACGAGCATCAGATCTTTGTAAAAATCCATTTTCAGCTAATACCTCACCAGCAACATGAAGTCGTTTTAAATTTTCATTAATTTGAATTATACGAATAAAATCATCATGTTGTAATACACTTTTTAACAGATTATCTTCTATTTCATTAGAACCACATTCATATGTATGAACTACAGGAGAAGATTGTTCTTGGAAAGAAAGAGGATAAGATGAGCTTTGATATAAATTTGATTGAGAAGGTAGACTTAGAGATTTATTAAGTGATGAATTGACTAAATCTTGTAAAGGAAAAGTGACAACATTATTTTGATTAATTACTGTGTTTATTGCTTCGTTAGAGACTGTACCTGTAATTTCAGAATCTAATGAATTAATGAAAAGAGATAGTTGTGGATTACCAATACGAGCACGTGCAATAGAACGTTGTTGTTCAATGTCAGTATAATTATTAACTTCAGTCATATAAAGTTCGCACTGTTTTTTAGCTTCCAGTCTATGTGTTAATTTTTTATATACTTGTCCTTTTTCTCCTCCATATATTGGTAATGCAGCTAAATGTCTCAAATGTGCATCCCATACATGAGAATAACAATTATAATGCGTTTTAACTGGTTCTTTGCATCCAGGGAAAATGCATAGCCAACTTTTTTTACGTTGTTGAACAGTAGTTTTCATATCCATGTAAGTATAAAAAACTTCCTAAAATAAATTTTTTTTCAAGTAATTTTTTTATTTTTTTATTATAAATTATATCAATATCCTAATATCCCGTTTTCTTCCTTATTAAATTATGAAATTCTTCCTTTCTAAAAATACATCTTCTATTTTTGTATCAAATAAAAAAAAATTTTTTAAAAATAAATTAAATAAATTTTTTTTAACTAATTATAGAACAATAAGAATATAAAAATCTAACAAAAAAGAAAAAAAAAGTATATTCTAATATAAATTAAAAACGTTTTAAAGAAAAATGAGAAGATTGAATCATTAGAAAAGGATTTGTGATAAAAAAAGATCAAAGTAGAAAAGTTAGTTTTATTAATTAATCAATTAAAAAAATATAAGAAAAGAATAAATTCAAATAAATTATTCTAACTGAACAGTTAGTTGTTGTTCTGAAAGGACAGGAGATTCATGTGAAAAATCAGAGGGTAGACTAAGTTCAGGAAGAGTATTTGTCTCACTAAACCTAGAAGTTAAACTAAGAGAGAAGACTGTTTTGATTGTTTTTGAATTGTATGCATAAATTAAGAAAGGGATAACCATTGAAGGAACAAGATAAAGTAAAGCTGGTTGACCAACTTTAAAATTCCATAAAACAAATAAAGTTAAGACTAAACCAAAACAATAGCCAAGTAAAGTTGTAATGAAATATTTCGTTTTATAAAACAAATCAATGCAATAGGCATAGTTAATAAGTATGCCTGGAAGAATAATATCTCCTAGTCCAATTAAAAATTTTCCATCAATAAATTCTATTAATAAAGGAAGTCTTAACGAAGTTGCTGTTTTTGCAGCTTCAACCATTACTGATTTACCATCAAATAATGAAAGATTAGCTGAACCAAATACCCAAAAGATATCATAAAAGAACATAATAGAAAGAAGAACTAATGGGATATGAACTTTATCAACAAACAGAAAAGATTGAATTGCTATTGCAACTCCAATAGCAATAATGTTAGAACTCCAGCGTGTTTGTGTGAGAAGATAAACAAAAATAATTGTCAATGAAATTAACAAAGATAAACAAATTCTTATTTTTGAAGATAGAGATGGGACATAATCAAAAATTGGTTGAAGTATTAAATAAAAACAAGAAATTGCAGAAAAAAATACCGACGCATAAATAAAATATTTAGCTGTAGATGGATAAAAGAAGACAAAGATAAGAAATAATGAACCAACCAAAGGAATAATAACCACATGTTTCCATTGTAATTTTGATTGAGAAATAGTATCTAAATGCCAATGAATAAAATATACTTTAAATTTACAAGACAAATAATGAATAATTATAGTAAGAGTAATCAACTGAATAAGCTCTAACATAAGAATGATTAACTATTCATTTTCAGTTAAAACTTTTCTATTGTTTCATATTTTGATTTATCTATGTTATAATATAATTAGTTTTTATTATATTATTTTTAAATACTACAAATTATGCTTTTTGTTACCAACAATTTAATGAATTTAAGGAACTACGTTCAATAGAAAATATAAATGTCTACTCGAAAAATCTTTGATACAAAGAACTTGTTAAATTATTCTTGAACTCATAAATTCAAAGAGATGTTCAGAAAAAATGTTTGGACATTTCAATCACAACAACACCTTCACTCTCAACTTCGTACTTCTAAAAGACTAAAAATGCTGTCAAATAAAAGGACATTGGCTGACTCTGTACCAAAAGAAGAAAAAACTTTAATACAAACACTATCTGTAGATAGTATTACTCAATTTAAAAACCTTATTAATTCAAATTCTGAGTATGACATTCTTCAAGGACTAAATGGATTTAGAAAATTACTTTTAGGCACACAACCCCCTTTAATTGAAATTTATCAAAGTGGAGTATTACCTCGATTATCTCAATTAATTTCAGGAGAAATATCAATTAAAAATTTAGCTGTTGGAATTACTGCATCAATGGCAGCAATTGATAACCCTCAAATTATTGATGAATTTATTCAACTAGGGATAGCTAAACAATATGCTGATATATTATGTTCACAATTTAAATTAAAATTTCTAAATATATTTGAGCAAGCTGCAAATGGAATTGGTAATATTATGGGTTCGTCTCCATATTATAGAGACATATGTTTATCTTATGGATTTTTTAATTCATTTTTAAGACTATGTGATCGATTTCTTAGTTTAAGAACAGACCCAACAATGCCAACAGCATTATGCCATGTTATTATGAATATTACATCAGGAAATCCAAAATGTGATGAAAGGTTTGCATATGTATTGATGCCTTACGTAATTAAAATGGGGCAAGGGTTTGAAGGAGATACATCATTATACATGTTACAGACAATGGTTAATTTGTCTGAATTTAATATTGAACTTGTATGTAGAATGGTACATTCAAATGAAGTAATGGAATTTTTAACGGGAATTATGAACATGAGATATGGTGATTTTCAAAAATTTGTATTACAATTTATTAGTAATTGTCATGACAAATATCCTGACACTTATAACTATATTTCTAATTTATATGAATCTACTATTAATGTGTGTTGGCAGGCATCAAATTCAATAATTATTCAAATGTTTTCATTTATTAATTCTGTATTAATAACTCCAAAATATACTGAAAGTGCTATTCAAATTATTAGAAATAATGAGAGGTTTATTTCTTTTTTAATTACATCAACAGCTAATCAAAATGTAGAAGCTGCATTTTTTTCAATTGAGGTAATGAACTTTATATTGATGACTAAGAAACATGATTTTAATTTGATTCAAGAATTCCAAAGAAAAGGAATAATAATTCATGTTCTTTCTGCCTTAACAAGACCTTCCGTACAAGAAAAACCTAATATAGTTTCTGATTTACTTGATATTATTATCATTTGTATGTCTTTTGAAATAAATAATGAATCAAATAATATGGTTGGCGAGAATTTTGACTTTTCACCAATACAAGATTTCGAAGAAAAAGATGGAAAAGAAGTCATTGATACTATTTGTTTATTACTCCCAGAATTTGATAATAAAGTTAATACGTTTGTTTTTATTATTTAAATATCCTTTACTACAATAACACTAATATAATAATAGAATTAAACAAATTGTTTTTTCTAAAAGAAATGATGTATCGAATCACCTTTAATCATTAAATGTTATAAAAAACGAAAAATATTTAAAATGAAATATTTCTTTTTTTTATTCATTCTTTTTTTAGTAATAATTTTTTTTATTTTTATTTATTTTTTTTTATTTTCTACTAAAGTGGAAGAATTCAAAAAAAGATGCATTACAGGAGGCATCACAAAAAATATAGAAAAACAAATAAC